CTTGATCTTCTGAAGATTGTTTGTTCCTCTAAAGTATCTATTCTAACATATAGTTTTTCTAAGTTAGCTAGAATATTCATTAAAGGATCTTGTGTGCTTTCTATTTTGGATCTTGTGTTAACTTCAGAAAATCTATTTCTATAGCTTTATTGATTTCTGATTGATTCTCTATTGCTTCTTGTTGCAGAATATTTTTCTCTAGAGTTTCTTTCATGCCTTATTTTATTATTGCTTTGCTGTCTGATCTGTCTCAAATTTCTGAACCTATAATAATTTGCTGGGATAAAAAAAGACTCTGTTGATTCATTATCTGATTGTGAGTTGGGTATTGATTCATTGTCTATTTCTATATTTCTAAAACTAAATTTTGTATTTCTATTTTCACCTTTAGAATTCCATCTTTTGTTTTGAATATATATTAGATACTCTATAAGAGGCAATGTCCCTATAAGAAAATATATTGTTTGTATGCTTTGTCTCTTTCTTCTTTTGTTTTGAATATATATTAGATACTCTATAAGAGGCAATGTCCCTATAAGAAAATATATTGTTTGTATGCTTTGTCTCTTTCTTCTTTTGTTTTAAAGCAAATTATTGTAAAGTTACTTTTCTTGAGTATATAGGAATCTTTAGGTATATAGTATGCCTTAGCTTGTGTTCCATTTAATGCTCTAGCTATTAGACTAGTGTAGATTTTATCAGTACTTAGAAGTCTTGCTGATTTATTATTTCTTTCAATTAATATTTGATTAATTTTATTATCACAGAGCTCAGTTTTTGAAATATAAATAAAATCAAATAAATTAATAATAGTTTTTTTTTAATTTTAAAAATTATTTAAAATTTTATTATTTTAAAAAAATTAGCAATAACAATATTTTTATTTTATTTTATTTTATTTTATTTTTTAAAGTCCAACTTGACTGGAGTGAATTTATTAAATATTTAAGATAGTACAGTATTGATTACATGAGTGATTCATCTTAACCTATTTTCTATACTACCTATCCAATGAATACCTCAATTTTGCCACAGTGTGATACCATTTTATCAAGTTGCCCTGCTGTGCTCGGGCCACATAGCATCTGATGTCCACTATGGGACTTGTATTATTATATTTTTTTAAAGGGCTTGAGATATGTGTTCCTTAGTTCTTGGTGTTTTTGTTTCACATTCTTGTTTGTATGTGCCATAATAGATCCTTGCCATGTTTAGTCCTCAGAAGGCTGATTGTATTCTGATATGTATAGGCCCTGTAGTCTTGTACTAACACCCCGACGATTCAATGGTGTTGCCTTCATTGATCAACCAATGGTCTTCCATTGCTTCATTCTTAACCACTCTTTAAATATGACCTACAGGGGTTTTCCTTGATTGTTATTTTCTGAATTACTTCTTTCAAATTTTTGGTCTGCCCCTATGGTTTCCATTGTGATACTAATGCTAATCACCAGCCCAACAGATAGCTGTCCTCTCTGGTAGCTGTTGATTTCACGATTGTGATAAGATCTTCCATTAATTGAAGTTATAGCCCATACGTTTTCAATTGGTGCAGATGATCAAAGACTCTCAGATCTCCCATGAGGGTGTTTTTTGAGAAGAGATGAATGTTTTCACAATTCCATTAGAGGCTTGAGTCCATCAAGATCTTTCCTGGCTTGTCTTGGTGTCTTCACATATTCTGGACGATAGGATTTTTTAAGGTTTCCTTAGCACTAAAACCAGCCAAGGCTGTGTGTTCTAATTTATTATACCGTGATCAGACGGTGAGATTTTATAGGTTATATTTTATGTACAAAGATGCATGTGGGATGAGCATGTATCTTATACAATGTAACCTATATTGTGGATCCTGTTCTCAAGTGGAATTAAACCAGTAACTCGCAGATGGTGACCTGAGAATGCACCCACTGCACTATTGATCCACAGGTCTAGCAATAACAATATTATTAATTATTAAATTTAATTTTATTAAATAAAAATTTTTAAGATGTTTTATAAGATTAAAATTACTATTTTCATTATAAATATACTGTATATTGTTTTTTAATATTTATAAATAGATTTTTTGTTATCTTTAAAATTAGAACTCCTTGTAAAATATTCTTATATTTTATTTTTAAAAATTGTTGAAATAATTAAAATTGATTTTAATAAGTTGCTTATATTAATCTTTTTAATAACAAAAAACTCTTTTCACTAATTCTTTAAACACAATATAAAAAAGATAATTTCAAGAAGTTTTTATATTTCTTGATCAATAAAGTCTTCACACTTTCCTTAAAACAACTTGAAGCTTGTTTTTAAGAATTACTATTATCTTTCCTTACTTGTTTACTTCTTTAAATAAAAACTTGAATCTCTAGTGACCTAAATAGATTCAAACATATATTTTTTTACTAAAAACAAGAAGGTTCTAAAAAGTAAAAGGATTAACTGGTGAAGTGGCACTTCTTAGAACTGGACATAATATGAAAATAGAGATTTTCTAGGTAGAAAAAGGCTTATTATCTATCATTACATATATTGACTCTTATTCTTTTAAAGTGTCTATAGTTTTTTATAATTTTTTTAAAGAATTTTATCTATCCCAAATTGATCTTGAATTTCAAGTAACATAATATTATCTGGTTTTTAATTGATTAATACAAAACATATTAATAGTAAAATATAAACAAGGATTCATAGTTATATTTACATATTCTGATGATATTATTGATGAAAAAAAAAAAATCAAAAGTACAAACTTCTTTATTCTTTCAAATAAAGTATAACCAAAACAAAAAAATTATAAGATCATTAGGATGGGTATTAAATTCATTAAATAATGAAAAGATAATTATTTGTTTAAACTAAACTTTCAATTTCTTATTATTCCAGTTAGATAAAGTATGTGAAAGAGATTATTTCCTTATTTTGTTCAGGCTATAAGACTGAAAAGCAAAGGAATATAAAACATTGTTTTTCTCTAAGATTAAGAATATATTTCTTCAAATATTATGTAATAAAATCACAATTAAAATAAATATTCATAAAATTCTTTAACTAAATATAATTGCTAGAAGATATTAGAAGTTATATAATAAATAAGATTAAAAAGTCATATAAGAACCTGGTATTCACTATTAATTGTTTTCTTTTATGTGAGTGAATATAAAATTAAGATTGAAAAAAAGTAAATATTAAATAGAACAATGGATTTGAGTAGATAATAAGTATTTTATAATTATAAGAAAATAATTAAAATCATGGATGGATAAGTTTCTCAAATAATCAAAAAAAAGAAAAATATCTCAAAAGAGTTGATTCCTAATGAGAGGAGATTTCTTATATAAGTTCTTTAAAGGACATACAACACTTTTATTTCTATTTTTTATTTTTTATTTTTATATAGCATAATTGTATATTTTAAATATTTCACTTTTTTTTTTTTCCTTTTTCTTTTGTAATTTTTCGAAATCAGTTCCTTGAAGAATAATAAGCAGTGACAACATGCTAGTAATGATAGGTAAATTAGAAGAGTATTATTACAAGTAAAATATTGTTTCCAAGATCATACTTAGAGACTGAAACTTTTTTGAGAATTGAAAGTCATGGATAAGTAAATCAATATAATATTTAGTTTAACTATAATACAATTGTCCTATACTATATATCTTTATCAGTTTTCATAATGATTAATAAATATATTGTACTTACCTGATTATAAATAATTAAAAAAAAATTAATCTTTTCAATATCAATATTATTATGACAAATTAAATCATTATTTTTAAATATATGTTATCAAATAAGTTTTTATATTCTATTTTAAAAAAAAAATAGATTAATAAGAACTAAGAATATAATAAAAATAATTAAACAATAAACTATAATATTATAAAAAAATATTAAAAATTTTTTAAAAAATCATAAAGAAAAACAAGTGCCAAAGTTTTTTTAATTTATCTTTTATATATTCTTTTTTAAAAAAAATTTTCAAAAATTTTTTATTTTGGTTTTTTAAATAGTTTAATTTAAATAAAATTAAATAATTAAATAATAATTTATATAAATTGATTCAAATTTGATTTGAATCTGATAATTTTATAAATTTAAATCTAAATCCAATCAGTTTAAAAATTTTGAAATTTGATTTAATTTAATTTATATTTATTTTATAAATCAATCAAATTTAGATCAAAACTATGATTACTATTTATAATAAAAATATAGTGAATCTAAACTTTAAAAATAATTATATACTATATATATATTTTAAAAAAATTTAAGTATAGTATATAAGAAAAAATAAAATATTATTAATTTTAAATATTCAATTTTAAATTAATTTAATAAAATTTTTTTTATTTTTAAATAGTTTAATTTATTTAATTAATAATATATTAATTATTATAAAAAAATATAAAAAAATATTAATATAATATTAGATTTTTTTATTATATTTAATAAAAAAAATATATATATTTAAATTATTTATTATAAAAATCTATTTTTTTTTTTTTAACACAAAATTCAAAAAATTACAAATTAAGGAAATAAATTATTGATAATAAACAATTTAAAAAACTAAAACTTGTTTCTTTTGTCAAATTATTGATAGGTTTAAAAAAATTTTTTTTAAAATTAAAATTACGTATTATTTGTTACACGTAATATGTAAACAGACTCACATATTTCTGTTGTATTCGATGATTAAGTGCGCATTCTTTTAAATAGCCTAGGATTTTCGACCAATCAGCGCGTTATGATTCATCACACAATTCAGAATATTTTTCGCGTAGTCCCTAATCTGTCACTACTGTGATATCCAATTGGCGAAATGGAAATATAAAAGACGGCGTAATATCTTTACACAGACATTAAATGCGGCAGAACACTAGTGTTTTAAATACCAGAGTTCAATATATAGTAATGCCTCCACCGCTGATACCTTCAATACAACCTAATTTCTCTTCACACCTGTCATAAGAATCTTTATTCCACCATCATTTCAAACAATGTCAGGACCAGAAGAGTGGGAAAGTGTTGATGATTTCTCTGTCTCTTCCTTACCTGCTGAGGAATCATCTTTCACCACTCAAAGCCTTTATGCATCTAGCTTATTACCTGAAATTAATGAAGAAATTCCAAATGAAACTGATGTGACAAAAAATTCTTCAGCAGAAATTTTTCAAAAAGTGGGGTAAGAATTCTGTATTCAACAGTGTCCTCTTTAAAGAATGGGACATATGATCAAGAAGTGATGTTTAACCTAGTGATTTTTTTTTTTTTTTTATTAATTTAAAAATCATTTTCTATAAAAAGACATTGGTTTTACAATACCAGATTCGTCCAATACATGAAATCGGATGAAATGTCTAGGGTCAAACATGTTTATTCAACAAGTCATATATGGATGCTTGGAGTGGAATATCGGTTTAATGGTAATTATTTCCAAGAGTTCGTAACATCGCATACCACCCATCTTATGCATACATTTTTTAATGCATCTAATGCAGAAGACGCCGAATTTGTCAGCCTTCCAAAACCCGATAGGGGCGAAAACGCACGAGGAGGTCGGGCGTCGTCTTTGCTTAACTTCATGTTTGGATCAGAAGATAATGATACACCTTCACATGATCGGTACCATAGTGATGATTGTATAAGAACCCAAAAGTCGCATCCTTCGTCACAGAATGTGATGGAAACAAATAATAAAGGAAAAACCAATATTCCATCAAATGGATCCAACAATGTTATACAACGTTTAAGGACTTTATCATTTTCTCGCAGATCATCCATATCAGATCAGCAACTTCCAACAGTCTCTCAATCAACACCGAATGTTTCTACTGGACTATTAAGCCCTCATTCTCGTCTGGGCGGAAAACGAATGCGCTCTTTTTCATTCAGTAAAAGAGCTGAAGTACCAGGTATATTAATATCTGAATCAAAACCTTCAGCTACGCAATTAGAAGAATTACGAACGAATAACGATGTACGACCTCCCAATATGGGGAGATCATTGAATACTCAACATTTTTTGCAAAATGTAGAATCAGCTCCTTCGTCTTTGAACCAAGATTACGAATCTGCAAGTCATAATGAAGGGTTAGCACCGAAACCTTCCAAAAGGACACGTAGAATGACGTTCACCGGATTTTTCTCTGGTAAAAATAAGTTTGGCGGTTCATCATCATCGCAAAGACTTCATCCGCACCTAGAAAAAGGGGAATTGGATCAGAAACATCCGGTAGACGATGCCACAGCCGGTTATGCTATCTTAGGTGATGAAGCGTATTCTCCAGTAAAACGTAAAGGAGACATTAATCTCGAAGATATAGTCTATAGTTCGGATGATGAAAGTGAAGGCAACATTTCAATCGAAACTATAACTCGAGAGTCAACAACGACGCAAAATGATGTTTCTTCAAATTTTGAAATTATAAAAGACATTAATAATATAGAAGATATATCGAATGACAGTCAATCTCAACGAACAGATATTGGTTCAATGAGGTCATCGGAATCCTTTAAATTACCAGTTCCTACTAGTCTTTATAAACCGGATTCTCTCGGACCACTGACACCTAATCAGGAAACATTGATGGACTTTATTCTTGATTTCCAATCAAGGATATATTGTTGTTATCGTAAAGAATTTCCACCAATCGAACCATCCTTTCACACAACTGATACAGGTTGGGGTTGTATGCATAGGACCGGTCAGAGTTTGTTGGCGCAAGGGTTCTTGTGGGTTCTTTTGGGGAGAGGTGTGTTTCTCTGAATGACAATGTTTCTCTATTTGCATAAAGTCATGACCTCTTAAATCCATTTATTAGATTGGCGTTTGCACAACACGCAGATGGATTCAGACCGATTGATATATCGAAAGGTAAGATTTTTAAATATGCATATGTGTAGGTTCGATGAGTATTCACGTTTTCATTTATCGTACGTGTCCTTAAAAGATTTTGCGTTGGTTCATGGATGGTCCAATGCCAGAGCAATATTATTCCATTCATAACATAGCTCGGGTTGGAACTTCGTTAGATAAAAAGATTGGGGATTGGTTTGGTCCAGCCATTGTGGCACACGCCTTAAAGTGAATTATCGTTTTGTATATTCTATTTATTTGTTTATCTATTGATTAAACGCATTAACATGTGTATATGCATTCAAGGAAGCTGTCGTTGGTACACAAAGAGTGTCCATTGGTTATTTATGTCCCGACCGACAACACAATATATAAAAATGACATTTTTGGAATTTCTGATCCTGAAAATTTATTTATTGATCAACGACAATGGAAACCAGTTCTTATACTGCTCTCTGTTAGGTATTCGCATCTTCATTTCTCCATGATATTAGAAAATTCAATTTAATATTAAAGAATTCTAAAAATTAGGTTGGGTACTGATAGATTCAATACAAATTATTCAGAAAATCTGAAGGTATGCTTTTCATTGCGAAATATATTTTTCCATTCTTGATACTTTTGTCTGATCGAATGATTTCTCTTTTAAGAAATTGTTTAAGCTAACGCAATTCTTGGGAATTGCGGGCGGAAGACCTGGAAGGTCGTTGTATTTTGTCGCCGTTCAGGGTACATAAATAAATATAAATATCCTTGTCATAGAGTATACGATCATGATTAAAATATATTCTTTATGCATGTTTAGATGATGAGCTTTATTATCTCGATCCACATTTTGTTCGTCCCGCCATAAATCTTAATCAACTCATGGAATTTCCAGTTGAGGTAATCCATAATCAAAACATCACATCTTTATTTCATTCTTAGCATTGTTATTCTTTTTTTTTTAATGGTTTTATTAAAATAGGATTACCATTCAACTATTGTTCGCGCAATGAGTGTTTCTGAAATGGATCCATCGATGCTCTTGGGATTCTTATGTCAAAGTCCTCATGACTTAGATAACCTTTGTGAGCGTATTAACCATGTAAGTTAGAAGCAATAAGTAAAGTAGTCAAAAAAAAAAAAATAATAATAAATAAATTTATATTTAAATTCGTTCAATATAGGATATGGATGCACAATTCCCAATTTTGACGATTCAGAATTCTAATTCGGCGCGTCATTCCTGGATAATTTCAAAACCTAATGATATTGTTGAGGAAATTGAGGACAATGATATCGAATATCTAAGGGGTATCTTTTCACGCGAAGGTATTGTTAAAGAGGAAGAATATGAACTCAAACTTCAAAACGCAAATACACCTATCCGGCGAGAATCCGTTGCCAGTGAAGAAAATTATGAAATTTTATAACTTTCAGAACAAACCAATTTTAAGATCACTAGGGCATTGCCGTTAACAGAGAAATAACGATGAATGAGCATGATGAAATATCCAAAAAATTATAACTAGCTAAAGCTTCGTGCGCGTTAGCATCTTTAAGATTTAAATTCCTTGTATTTCTTTTTTTCATTATTATTGTGCTTGTTAATTTAAAAATCTAAAAATTTTAAATCAGTACTATACATACTGTAGTTCCCATTCGGGAAACTTCTTTCAAGTGAGCCTTGCTTTAATCCGTTATTTAACGAGCAATGTGAATCTACCTTGGGAAGTAGAATCGGTTAGTAACTACATATCATATTACTTTCATAAGTTGATATTTTTTGATAATCGACTAGTATCAATGTTTTCTTCTTTAAATTGTAAATAAATTTGTATATTATTCAATCTCCATAGATACAGTTATTTTGTAATAATTAAGTTTTTTTTTTCTTTTAAATTCATAATCATGTCATCATGGCGTGCCTTTATTGAGGCATTAAATAAATATTTACACTATTATATAAACTATTCATATAACAGTTAACTTATCATTGTATATTATTCTTGAAGAATCACAAAGTTTTAAAAATATAAGGAGTCTATTAAGCTAGTTTGAACTAAACAAAACAAGTCTCAATTAGATACTTGAAATCAAATTAAGAAATAATATTTTATTTTTTTAATAAATTGATATTAATGTTTTAGATTATTATCAATAGTCTAACACTATTAATTATCTCAAAAAATAATTATTTATTGAATTAAAGTACTAAAAAAGGAATAAAAATAAAATCAATTTAAAATTTTTTCTATTCAAATTAATAATTTTTTTAAAAAGAATCTATTTAATTAAAATTAAATAAAGTTTAAAATCAAGATTTTTTTTTTTACTCTGATTTAATAATAAGCTTAAACAGTTTCTAGTTTTCAAGTTTTTAATTATAGTCAAGAATATATTTTTTTAAAAATTATCAAAAAATATTATAGTTAATAAAAAGTTTTTATTATTATTTTTTAAATTAAAAATTTTTATATTATTATAAAATAAGAAAAATATTAAAAATTTTATTTTTTAAATTATAAAAAATATTAATCAATAAAATTTTTTTATTAAATATAGTTTTAAAAATATTATATTAAAACAATATAACTTAATTCTTACTGGATTATATAAGAATCTAAAATCTATTATAAGTTATCTGTCTATTACAAGTAAATATAAAATTATTATCAAAAAAAGGTTAAAATTAAGTGTATTACTAGAAATAAAAAATTCCACCAATCAATAAGTTTTTTTAAATATTATATGAAAAAAAAATCAAGATTAGAAATAAATAAATTCCTTAAATAGTTAGAATAAGAAAAGATATCCAATAGAATACTTCTTATTAAAAAAGGTTTTAATAATTAAGTTTTTAAAAAAAAACCGAATAATTTTATTTTCAATTTTTTGTTTTTATTTTTTTAAAAGTCTATTTAAATATTTTTAGATATATTTTTTTTTAACTTATCCTTTTATAATTTTCTATATTTTAATAATTTGATAAGATATATAATAAAAACAACTTGCTGATAATAAAATAATAAACAAAAGGTATTTAATTTAATAAAGATCATATTGAAGCAAAATATTATTCCCAAAGTTTACTTAGAGGCTATTATTACTTATAACAAGTTTGTCAAATTTAATAATAATATTTAGCTATAATATATATCATATTAGAGTAAAAAAATACTTATATTTTGCTTGATTAATAAACTACTATATATTTAATCTAACTATAAATATTAAAAAAAAAAATTAAATTGACTAATATATAGAAATCAAAGTTTATATAATATTATATATTTATTTATTATCTCAATAAAAAATAAGTTATTTTTATTATTTTTTTTTTTAACTGCCAACTATACTATATGACTTAATATTTATTGATAAACTTATATAATTATCTTATAAAGGTCTTAAAAAATTATTATTAATTTCTAAAAGATAGTAAACTTTATTAATTATAATTATTATTAATTTCCAAACTTTATCAATTATAATTTAAATACTAACAGAAGTTGAAACTTTATTAAGATTGAAAGAATATCATTTTATATATAGTATATTGATATCTTACAATATAAAAATATATAAATAATATATCTAAAAATATATATATCTAAAAAAAAATTTTTTTTACTAATACAGCCATGTTTTATTGAATATATTAAATATTATATATATGATATAGATAAACTACTTTTGTTTCTCAAATAAAACTTCAATAAGGACAAACCTACTTTGTAGTAATGCCACTTTTTTTTGAAACAAAGGGGTTAGTAAAGGGATCTACTAGTACAAGAAAATTAAGAAAAAATCTATGATGTTTGTATTCATATCAATATGTTCCTCAGATTAATATTAACCTAATATGAAAATCCTAGCTAGACTTGCTACTACTTTAAAAGTGGGCACATCTAGTTAGTGGACAAATAATTAATATATAGTTATAAATAGCAATTCTTAGATTAGTTAATATAGTACTTATATAATTTTTTTTTCTTTTTTTTATAATTCACTAAGCTAGACCTGTTAAATATATCTGACAGGATATATATATTTTTCAATATTCTTAGATATTATTTACTAAGACCTTGAAAAG